ACTTAAATCTTCAAATACAGCAGGATTTCTCAACATTGGTATTATGGACATTTTGGATCAAATCGTTCTTCATTGTGTGGAGGGGCTGTTTTGTTCATTTTAGAAAGTTTAGCAGCATCCCTATCCACACCACTGCCCTAGCTTATCTACCCACTGGATGTCAGTAGCATATATTCAGCCTCCCCACAACTGCTATGGCCAATTGTGGCAACCAAAAATGCCTCCAGACATTGTTAGCTGTCTCCTAGGCGTCCAAATCACCTCCGTTGAGAACCATAGAAATAGAGCATGACCCCTGCACACTGAAGAAATGCAAGCTTTGCTTGTGTACTGTCCTATATGCTTTAGGGACAACATCATCTACCATCTGAGTGTCCTGTTCTGCAATGCTGTTCTCAAGACCCCAGGAAATCTTCCTGAGTGGAAATTGTCTATGTACATTTTTAAGTCTGACCACAGAAGAATCACAAATCTTAGAGAAGCAGGAGTGGGGAGATGATGTAAATATGGAGCTGACTGTGAACTGGAACGATGACAGCTTAACTAAATATATCCCAGTAGTGAAGGTGACTAATGACATCGAGCAGGCTAGCTTAAAATGTGTTTACAATAGAGCACAGAAATTTACATTCATAGCAGAGCATTAGGAAAAGGTTGGCTTATACATAGCACATTTTCTTTGGGGAATATATAAATATATATATTTGTGAAAAATTTAATTCAAGTTAAGCACTTAGCACAGCGCCAGACACATGGAGAGTGTGTATTAAATGCAAAAGTGCTGGCTGCTATTCTTATTAGTAGTAATACCGGCATTGATCATTTTATTTGTATTATTTAATTCATTACGCATATAAACATTTTAACGCTTAGGAATATTTCTTCTAAAATATTCTCTCTCTCTCTCTCTCCCCCTTTTGCCTATGGAAAGTTCCAACTCATCTTGAAAAGCTCAACTCAAAGGTAAACTCTTCTCAGAGGCTTTCCCTAAGGTCCCTCACCTTTCCAAATAAAGAATTAATTTTCCCTTCATTTGTATTTCCACAACACTTCGTACATGCTTACATCATAGCACTTAGCACATTGTATTATATTTATTAAAGTCTGTGTGCGGCAGGCCCACCACAGCCCCTAGCCCCCAGGCTATGAGCTTTTGAGGTCTTATTTACTCTGCCTTATGTCCTCTGCACTTGCCACATGGTAGGCACTCAACAAACCATGCCAAATTCAGCTGAATTATCTGGAAAATTCTATCATGTGGAAACCTCATTTCCCAATAATGCCAGATATATGAGGTATGACTGAAAAGCAATGGCTTCTATATAGAATTTGGGGCTGTCAGCATTGTGTGAAAAGATTAAATAAGTGAAATGATGCAAAGTGTGTTAACTTTTTACCAAGAAAAAAAAATAAAGATTTGGATAAATATCAGAACACCCCTTTAAATTGCACACATTTAAATATGAGTAAGGATAAATAAGGAAGGTGGGAGATGGTAGGAATAAAATACATAATTTGAGTTGTAAGTCTCACTAAGATAAATATATGGGAAAAGAGATTACATAATGGATATGTCGTTTTCTAAAATTTGATTATGTAACACTCTCAAAGAATTCATAAAGTAAATGGTTAATAGATAAAATGATGTCTTAAATGTAAAACATTTCCATAAAACAACAGTCTAAATTACTGCAAGAATCCCCACTTAGACACTACTATACAATACCTTGGGGAGAGTGAGCTTTATATATGTGAAAATATATATGCATTGTGTGCACTGTCAAGAGAACTGCATTAAAGAATACAGTCTGCACTAACTTTTCAATTGTTTCTGAGTTTAATTTAAAATTCTAGGTAGGTAAAATCCACAGTTTGATGATAGAAGTTTTGAAAGGTGACCTTTGTCTTGGAAATAGCCAGAGGTACTAGTTTCTTTTTCCATGTCATTTTAGCTTTCTAAGAAATATGTGAAACCAACAACAACATTAAAAAATAAATAAATAAATAAATTACTTTTTTCAAATTTATATTCTTTCCATTTTAACTGTGATATTTGATACATAAAGGAAGTATTTTTAATATAAACTTTTTCTCTTTCAGAGAATTAAAGTCAAACTTCCAAATTAGCAGGGGGGTTTTCCATAGAATAAAGGAAAGAAAAAAATATTTATTTACCTTCATTTTTTGTGGGAAAAAATATTTTCCATAGCTTAAGAAAAAATAAGAGCAACTTATTTTCAACTTTCTAGTGTTTTTATTTTTGTCTTTCTGTACATGGGAGAAGTTGGGAGGGCTATTTTGTAAAACTAGATGTAGCATAAAGTTCTTTTATTATCCTCTCTTTCTCTCTCTCCTTCAAGTGTAATTATGCTCATTTCTGAGCCCCCTCCTCCCAGATGCAGGAAAGAAACAGATCACACCCAGGGTCCTAGGTAGGAGCGGAGGGCAGCATCCTCCACCAGGAAATAGTCAAGTGGTGCTCCAAAAACACCACTTCCTCACGGGTGGCCCACCACAGCCACTGCCACAGCTGTGGCTGCCGCAAAAGCAGCTGGATGCCACAGTAGTAGCCACAGCTACCGTGCAGGCAGACTGCCAGACACCCAACTGCAGTGACACAAGGAGAGTCACCAGCAGAAACCACAAAAAGAAGAGGACATCTTTCTCCTCAAAGTCCACTCCAGCATAATAGAAGAAGCAACTGCTGGACCATGCCCCTGCTTTATTTCTGATTTCAGTAATTTCTATCTTCTCTCTTTTTTTCTTGGTCCATCTAGATTAAAGTTTTGCAAATTTTGTTGATCTTTTTTTAAAGAATCAACAAAAAAGCTATTAAGCAGTCTTTATTGATGTAAATATTTTAATCAAACATTAACTTTACATAAGTCTTTTAGGGTATAATATTCTTTATATATTGTGTAACTTGTTAAATATGTAACTATCATTCATTTTCTTAAACTGACTTTGTTACTGTAAATATTTTAATCAAACATTAACTTTACATAAGTCTTTTAGGGTATAATATTCTTTATACATTGTGTAACTTGTTACATATGTAACTATCATTCATTTTCTTAAACTGACTTTGTTACAGGGATTGAAATCAAGCTCAAAATTCATTGCTCATTATGATCTAAGTTTTTTTCCTTACTTCCTTTCCTGCATCTCTTCTCTTGTGACAGTTTTGAATTTTCTAAAGCAGATAATTAAGAACATTTTTGTTTTCAAGAGTTCATCATAATACATTTCTATATTATTAAATAAAATAAAAAATTTTAAATTATCTTAATTATAAATTTCATGTGGACAGAATAAAATGGAAGTTTTCTGGCATGAGGAACAAATTTACAAAATGAGACCAAAGGCCTAGAACACACATATGGGGAAGAATGAGACCATTTAATACACAGATTGGTGTCAGCAGTAGGGAAAAGCTGGGGAATGTAGGAGGAATTTTTCAGATCAATTTCTCTTACTGAATCTTCATTTTTGGTTCCAGTTGTTAAGAAGAGCTTCTGAAAAGGTTATAATACTGCAGTTCAGAAGAAAGGAACAGAACTAAGTAATCAAGAAAATGCCTCCTCTTGAAATGGATATAGTACCAGAAATAGAAGCTATAGAAAGCTTTAAGAATCATATAATATAGGGGTTTAACAACTATATTCAGTGATAGAGAAGATCAGAGAGATTGAAAAGTATCATCACATTCAGAGAGTTGATAGAAATACACAAGCCACAAGGTCGAATTAATGAAGTAAATGAAAAATAAGAGAAAGTCTCATAGCATGCAAAGAAAAAGGCAGAAGAAATCAAGATAAAAAAAGAGGAGAAAAAGAGAGACCTAGATGGCCAGTTCAGGAGATACAGTCTACATGTAATAGGAATAACAGAGGACAAAGCAAATGGAGCTGAAACATAATTAAGGATCTAATTGAAGAAAACTTTCAAGAGTTGAAGAGCAAACTAGGTCTACAGATGGAAAAAGTGCACAGGATACCTTTAAAATTTGATGAAAGGAAAGCAACACCTAGACATATTCTGATGACATTTTTAAATTTCAAGGAAAAAGAAAAAATTCTACAAGTATTCAGACAGAGAAAGCAAGTTACCTATAAAGGGGCAAGAATCAAGCTGAACTCAGATTTTTCTCTTGCAACTCTAAGTGCCAGAAGACAATGGAACAGTATCTACAGAGTTTTAAGGGAAAGTGATTTTGAACCAATTTATACCCTGCAAAGCTTCATTTCTGTACAAAGGCAACTGGAAGACATTCTCAAATATGTGGGGGTTAAGAAAGTATGTCAACAAAGAACCTTCCCTGAAAATCTTGCTGGATGATTTACTACAGCAAGCAGAGAACATGAAATAAAGTAAGTCAAGAGTAGGGAGGCAACCATACGAAAGAATTTATGTTGTTTTCCAGTCAACCTGGAGTTGCAAACTTGCCACGCAACACTTACTATCAGATTGGGAGAAACTAAAGAAAGTATCAATAAAGCTATGCTCATTCCACCCTAAAGCACATCAAAATCCATCAGGACCCTAAGATAAAATCAAGGTTGGGGATGGAAACCAGACAGAGCCTAGGTGAGACCCAGTACCTAGCTCCTTGCACAGAGCCCCCACAGCTCATGTCCCCCTCTCCTTCTTTTCACTTCCCACATTCCATTCCCTCAACACCCTTTTTTAAAACCCCTCAGTAAATCTGAGTCTTTTTGATGGTTTTAGCCTCGCCATTCTCCATCAGGTTTACCAGAAAAATGGGTAGAGTAACATCTATCTCTCCTCTGGTCACCAGTTTTCCTGTGACCAGTTTTAAAATCTGACTTCCTATCACACCAACAACAACAACGAAATTACTTTTCAACGTGTTTCTACCTCTCCCTAAAGATCATTACACCCAGAGAAAATGATTTAATAGGTCACATGGATAATCTGTGGCTTTTACTAAAATTTAATATTTGCCTGCCAGGATAATAAGTTAGATATAAAGTTGGTACCTATTTGTGTATTCCTTGATGATCTGATATATGCTAATTGTAATTGTTTCATTTTCAAATCGATTGTTGCTCCGGTCCTTGTATATACGGAATTCAGCTGCTGTTACTGCCTCTCCATGGGGAATTTGAGTAAGATCAAACCGAAATTCTTTGTAATGCCTTCGCTGGTGAGAAAAATCCTTGTCTCTTTCAACTGGAAAAAAAAAGGAAGGAAGGAAGGAAAAAGTTACTCTTTTATAAAATATGGAAATTAATGCTAAATTATCCAGCTTTGAAAATGAAAACAAACAAGTAGGATAGTATAAAACAGAAAACACTAAAACCACAAACTCATACGTGTTTTCAGTTAAAGGAAATTCCACAAACCAACAACCTTTAGTTCAAAAGCAATATAACCTTTGGGGTTTTATACAAATTCGTGGATCCTAAGTGGAAAGGCTATTCAAAATGCTTTAAAAAGTGAAGGCTGTAAAGCTATTACTAGTATGTATCAAGTACCAGAACACAGAAGGTTTCATACAGGAATCAAGAATATGTTATAGAAACCTCCAGAGTTCAAGGTAAAGTCAGCGTTGAGATTTAGCACAGCCTCAGAAGGAAAGAGGAAAGGAGTACTGAGGAGTTGCAAGTAGATAGGGACCATATTTATGGCATTTCAGAGGTCAAATAAATAAAACAAATTCATTTTTCCAAAAAAAGTTGTTTCCAAAATGTCTTTCCTAGAAGAGTTTTTCTCTTCCTTCAGCAAATAAAGTATTTTTTATTCGTGGCAACATGGATGAACGTGGAGAAAATTATGTTAAGTGAATAAGCCAGGCACAGAAAGAGAAATACTGCATGTCCTCATACGTGGGAAGGAAAAATGGGAGGGAGGGAGGGAGGGTATAAGGGAGAGAGGGAGGGAAGGAGGGAGCAAGGAAAGAAGGACAATCAAAACAACACATAGAACTTCCAGAAAAAGAGAACAGAACTGTGGTAACCAGAAGTGGGAAAGGGAGAGAGAAAGGGGGATTATAAGAAATTGGTTAATGCAATGATGATATGCTAATTATCCTGACTTGATCATCACGTATTGTACACAAATACTGATACTAAACTCTGTACCCCACAAATCTATATAATCAATTATGTTTCAATAAGAAAAAAAAAAAGGCACATTCATAAACTCTTACCACTGGTGCAGCATAAAGTCTCCCAAAGACCTGTTCTTATTCAGAATTGAGAGGGAAACATATTCTCCGCATTTAGCAAACTTTTTACCAAATGATGTCACAGAACTGTTCCTCTTGGGAATATTAAGAAATGTTAAAGAATTTAGGATAGTGTCAGGCATATTATTATATAATCTGACCTTGTAAGATAATGTATTGTCTGAAACAGTCTGTATCTAGTGGGTACCAAAGCTTTTTCTAACAAGCTACCTATACAAAATGCTCCTTTATAGAAATGCAATATCATTTGATGGCATTAAGTTTCTCAGTACTGGTCAGTTTCTCAAATTCTCAGCTACCTAGGATAAGTAGGATAGTGTTACAAAAATTCCACGGCAAGGCACTGTGTGCAAGGTGTTGGACAACTACAGAAATTTTAAAAAGAATTTCCAGTGATATGTTTTATTACTAAAATTTTGTTACAAGAAGATAAAAAATGCACAAGTGGTATAAGTGGACTCAAGTTTCAAAAATTGGATTGAGATACAGAAAGATAAGCAGAATATTGATTGCAATTATATGAGCCCTGCTATAAATATGTGAAACTTAGAATCCTAAATTAGAGGAAAGATTAAGATTAAGGCAGGGAGAAGAGGATCATGACCATCCAAGAATGATACTGGGGAGCCACAGCTGCTAGACTGTCATGTTCCAGGGCCAGGTGGGTGCCACGTCTAAGAGGAAGCTCATGACAATGGAACCCACAATTCTTTGCCCTCATCCTCCAAATAATCTCTGGTTTATTTTCCCCAGTAGAGTCGGAGGCGGCTTAGGAGAGCAAGGATCTCATCCCCACCTGTACCTCAGATACCTATGCCAGCGTACAAAACAATGTCAGCTACACCTGGAGGCATTTTTGTCCTGTGCAGTTTGTCAAGGATGGTGCTCTTAAGCTGTCTGACTCACACTAACACTGATTTTGTCTTAAAATATCACTGTCTTGGGCCGACCCCGTGGCTCACTTGGGAGAGTGCGGCGCTGGAAGCGCTGCAGCGCTCTGGCCACGGGTTCGGATCCTATATAGGGATTGCCGTTGAGCGCGGTGCGGGCGACACCAAGCCGAGGGTTGCGATCCCCTTACTGGTCACAAAAAAAAAAAAAAAAAAAAAAAAAATCACTATCTTGGTCCTAAGAGAGGTCCATTTCCAAAGGGATCATTAATCAACTTCTCACTAAATAAGGACAATAACCCTATTTGGGGGATGATATTTTGGTCCGTAATTTAAACCTCTTCTCTGTCTAAACTTCTGCAGGCAGGAGTGCAGCGTGCTATAAACACTGCTCCTTTATTTCTTTTGTCCATTCTCTTGAGTGAGCTGTAAGAGAGAGAAAGTGTACAGGTAGCAAATGCCTACTAATTGCATATATAATAATTGAATGTACATGTATAAATGTTAAAATTAGCCATAACTTTTGTTTTCAGAAAACTAAATTTAACTCACTACATTCTTATTTTCTGATCCTAAATTTAAATGAAGTAGATGACATTATATGAGTTCTTAAATAGCACTTATGTTATGCCACTCATTATTCTAAGCATTTTATAATTTTATTAATATTAACATTATACTTCATATCAAACTACAAGGTAGGTTTTGTTATTATCCTCATTTTGAAGATGAAGAAACTGAGGAGGCACAGAGAATAAATACCTTACCAAAAGATTTGAACCCAGACATTTGGTGCCACCAAGCTATGCTTCTTAAATGACAAGATACTCTGCTTCTACCTATGTACACTATTGCTTTATCCTGTTTTATTAATACACATCTAAAATCTTGCATTCATAAATCCAAAAAGTTCTGAAAACTGAAAATTTGGCTCCAAGATCATTTGGCCAAAAAACAAGAAATTAACTGAAGTGAAATTATTTAATGTCTCAATTTATCTGACTTCATATGAATATTCAAAAATGTTCATGTGTTTGCTTAGGTTTCACTGTCCTGGACCCTGTTTGAAGAGTTCCATACTTCATGATATACACACCAACCAGCCATTCAGAAATACATTTTCTCCATTCTGAAAGATAATATCCAAAATTCTAAGTGATAACAATGATTATTCAATTTTTCATTAACAATAAATTTTATATTTGAAATGTAAACCAAAAAAAAAAAACAGAAAAACTATACTTCTGGAAGTAAGAGCCAAGACACAAGTTTCTTAGGATCTAATCTAAAGTGTGCACCTGCATAACACAGATGAGTATTGAATTCATGTTATGTAAAGTCATCTACTGTTCTGGAATCCCCTGTGAGATGTGAGTGTAATAAAGTGGACAGCTAGAATTTCAGCTGTTATTATAAAATTTCAGTTTTCTAATCCAGGCTGCTTAACTTAAACTCTTAAGGGGACAAATTTTCAAAGAGTTTAATAAAATTTTGTATTAAATATACCACACAGATTAAAGTTGCATTGCAGATTTGTCTAGCGATTCACATTTTTATATCCCACGGCTTTGAATCATAATTGCGACAATAAATTCCATGGACATGTTGGAGTGAGTAATGGAGTAAGGCTTGCATTTATATGACCTTGCACTCCTAATGATGCCACAACTATTCAACTAGCTAATCTCAGTCACCTCAAAGAGTCATGCGAGGGAGGTGGCAAATATTAATATCCCTGAATTAAGAAAAAGAAATTGGGTGATGACAACTGGGTGGTAACAGACGTCGGTCTCCTAAAGCTCATTTTAAATCTCTGTTCGATGTCCATACCATCTATGCAATGACATCCTATTGTTCTGCACTGAGACTAGTTCATTGTTAGTATACTTAAACAATGTCTTTCAGCAGTACACAGAAAAGTGGAGAATAGTCTAGAGAATAGGGGTTTGATGACCAATGTGTAATTAGCACCTAGCACAATACAATACCTAATTCAGAGAAATCTTCTAATAAATATTGGTTGAATGAAAGATCACATAAATGGATCGAAATCTAATCCTCTCTTTCCACTCAGCATCATCCTACTGCATTCCCCAGTGACCGAAGGCATTGTAATTTATTTAAGTATTGGTTGTATGGCATTTATATAGCACACATGTCATTTAATTCTCACAACCCTACTTAGGTCCATCAGCTTTATAACTTGCTCAAAAGCCCTAAACTTACAATTAAAAGATAACAGATTTCATCCCAGGGCCAAGATTTCAGTTCTTAAGTCCTCATAAACTGCACCACACTGAGTGTGGTTTTTATTGTTTGTTTGTTTGTTTGTTTGTTTTCTTTGTTTTGGGGGTTTTGGGGTTGGTTTTTGGTTTTCTTTTGTTTTTGGTCAGCCTATTTCTGGGGAAAGCTGATCTTTTTTCTGTGTTTTTATTCTCCTCTCTCCAAAGAACCTTCCCATACAGTATAGGGGACACCACTTTTTCTGGACTTTGCTCATTCTCCTAGAACACACCTCCTCCAATCTTTATCTTAGCAAATGTGTTGTATTCTATTTACTTATTTAATATTTAGTCCATTTCTTATATAAGGAAATTTCTAAAAATGAACAATGATACTATTCATAATTTGAATCAATGTTATATATGCATGTCAGTATGCAACATCGTGCTTTTATGACAACCATATTTTGAAATGCAATTTTAACTTTCACTTTTGAAATAATTGTAGCTCACCAATTGGATCCCTTTATACCCAACATTTTCTTCATCTGACCCACCACCAAAATCAAAACTCCCAGAACAGATGAAAAAGAACATACACAAACATTTAATATTCTTTTAAAGTAAGCTTTTTATAGGAGAGAGCCTTATCTTGTTAATATTGTGACAATTTTGGTGAATATTAAGCATTCTATTTCTCCATATGTTACAGTGTGCTATCACCCATTGCAGTGGTAAATGTCTTGGGAAGGTTAAAAGATATGTAAGTAAACAAGAAGTTTTAAAAAATCAGACAAAATGAATTCTATTGCTGGCTTTTAGATTTACATTATATTAAATATTCAGTCCTTTTAACTCACTCTTCAATGT